GGCGGTACCCCAAAAGGAACAAACCTGATATGAAATCATACACCAGTGCACAGGCTTAGTTATCTGAGCAGAGGCAGGGAGTCTGGCTGAATCACCGCGGGGTCGACAATTCCGCAGTCGGGCTTACCATGATTCCACGTGCTTGAACCGGATGTCGGCGCATCCTGAACGCTGAATGTTCCGTTTCGAGGGAGTTGGGTATTTAGACGGCAGCCCATTATTGATCTTCATGGCGCGCAGCTCTGGAGCGGCCGCCTGTGCAAACCCAGTGTTCCATGGAGTCGGGCAGTGTAAAGACAGGAAAACGCGTGACCTGCGGCGGCGTGACCTGCGGCGGTTTATGATGGCTCAACAAACAAGCCAACACAAGTAGCAATGCACCGCGCGGCACGCGACTGTTCAAAAGACTTTGTCCTGCCTTGAAATGAACCTGACCAAACTTTCCGATCTGACAGGCGCACGTGGGGGCGCCTCGGTGCGTTTTAATGGCTCGTTTTGTACGAAGCGTCGCTTTCTCCAGGCGTTGCAGTCACCCAAAGTGCCGCGGTGATGTAGCCTATGTCCAACACCAGACAAAATCCCCATGCAGGAAGGGGCCATGGGAACAGTGTGGGTTGGATTATTTGCAGAACCAGAAAATCTAAGAAATACCATCTGGAGTGGAATGGTTGGATTTTGGACATCTTATTATCAGAAGGTCCTTCATTGCGGTGTGCGTGCAAAATAGCGATATCCCCAAGAGGAATATTCCATCTCCTACGGCGTGGCCATGACCTTCTCATTCTTCACCGAATCTGCCAGTGGCTGTTGGGCCATTTCATTCCATCATACCAAAACAAATCAAAAGCCTACTCGTGATCGTGTGATCATGCTTCAAAGAAGTACTCCCGCGGAGTCCCGTACCATCCGTCAATGCGATGGCCGTTCATAATTAGTGATGCCATGTCATCGCAAGCGGCATTATATTTATGTAATAAGCATGACTACGACGAGCAGCATCTGTCTCCACTCAGCTTAAACCGGGTTTTAAGCTTCAAGTTGCATTTTAAGGTAGTTTCGTGAAACTTGGTCGAGTTTATGATGGCTCAACAAACAAGCCAACACAAGTAGCAAGCTGCTGAGGGGAACATTTCAGTAACGATTATATTTCCATCAGTTAGTTACTGTTCGACCTTAGTGTAACAGTCTTGAAGGATCGTTAAGGTCACTCACTTTGGGTAACGCCGTAACATTAGAAAGCTTCCTTTCACCTGGACCAGCCGAATGATAAGGCTACATTTTGTGATGTCCAAGGTAAGGACGAGTACAATTTATGAAGTAGGTGGTTAAAGTTGCCAAATGTTGAATCCGGAGTAAATGTAATGCTTTCTACTTTGCAAGGATTCTGAAACTAGGGCATCATTCAAATTGTTGAAATATATATGTAAATTGTATTAAACAACAGGCACTTATTCATAGCGATCAACATTGCAGATGGAATAGTCGCTCTGGCTATCGTTCCGGTTAGGTTATGTTAGTATGCACGTACATGTTCGGGCTAATTAACCTTCTGTCACGTGCCGTCGTCGGTGTTATGGAGTCCCTAGAAGAACTGGTTGGTGTTTGTGCTATAGACTTTTTTTGGCTCGTAAAGTAAATGTAAGATAATATTTCAACCAGCTTGTTATGCTATAGACTTTTTGGGCTAGTACAAAAGAAATTTAAGAATGATGTTTCAACCGGCTTGTTTTTATTGGTTTATCCATTCTCCGGCTTTGGTCAGACATTAAGACGAGAAACAGATTAAGACACTCGTTAAGAAAACATAACAAATAAATAGTCGCACGCAATGTCACGCACTTATCTCCTTGAGGCAACGAAAGTGAAACAGGTGACAGGTGTTACATCTCAGGTAGATAAGCAATGCAAACTCTTGACAAAAGTACGTGCAGTGGCTCTCGGGTACTTCCTATTTTAATAGAAGGCCCACGCCCTTGACGTGGGCCCTATCTGACGCCCTATCTGGGGACCTATCTTACTCTGGCGCACGCGACCATTCGGAGGCCCTCTTAATCGTGTCGTGAGTATTTCGTATTTGAATGGAGGGCGTACACGCTTGTCGGGGGCCCTATCTGTTAACTTACTCAAGCACACTCGATTGTTTCTGGTGCTCTCCACGTTGTGTCTTGGATGCCTCCTGTTTGAATGGAGGGCCCTACGCCCTTTTGTGGGAGTCTTATCTGTTAACCCGCTCGGGCACACTCGATCTATCGGGACCCATTACCTTGAGTCTTGGGTGCTTCCCATTTAAATGGAGGGCCTGCGCTCTGGACGGGGGCCTATATGCTAGCTTGCTTGGGCACACTCGATAATTCTCGGGCCTTCCAGATTGTGTCGTGGGTATTTATTATTTGAGTAGAGGACCCTGCGCTCTTGTCGGGAGCCTCTATCTGTTAACCTGCTCGGGCACACTCGATCACTCTGGGGCCCTCCAGGCTGTGCCTTGGGTACTTTGAATGGATGCCCTACGTGTTCTTGGCGGTCCCATCTAGAGCTGCTCGGACCGGTAGCGGATACAGAGAAGGGAAGGCACGGGACCGCACACCACCCATGGACCATGCCGAGGAGCCTATAGGCTCGGAAGGGGCCGTAACCGACCGAACGGACGCAGTTTTCTAACAAAACAAGAACACAACAAAATTGTATGTCTTTGGGCCTACAGACGACCACAAACCGTTGCCAGCAAAATTAAAAAGCCCATAAGCAGGCAAAGTTAATTTTTCGCTGATTGAGAAGGCCTTGCTTGCGGAAATTTTGGGGCTCATTACGTTGTCCAGAGGCATTGCGCTGTTGGTCGCCCTGTTTACTTGCTGGGTCAATCTGATCGCTGAGGAGCTTTCCGCGTTACCATTGGCCTCTTTGCATTTTCTCGCAGGACCTAACGCTGCTATTGGGACACGTTCCGCTTCCATGTCTGGACACTCTTGATCGATCACGTCTTCATCCACGGGTTCTTCCCAGTCGCCCGAAAGGCTCTATACGCTTTTCCGGGGTCTCATATGCCACGGTACACTCAGTTGCTCCGTGCAACCGCTCCGCTCAGTTGTAACCGCACGAGGCGCTGGAGCTAGCACGCGGTCTGGGAGACGCGCCTGAGCGCGAACTCTGACCGACACAGGCTCCGTCCTCATTGTTTCGGGGGTCCCGACCAATGCAAATATCAGTCGCTGGCCTAGTCCCTGCTTGTGAAAAGTATCTTGAGGCCCAGGCCGACGGGGAGCCAAGTCTTTGATGCTGTTGGTATCTGACCGACAAGGAGGCTTGCGTCGACTCTGTCCCCCCTTGCAAATGTTGAGAAATGCTTTGGAAACGGGGCCCAAGGCTCAGACTGGCATGTAGCCGACTGTTCAGTACTGGTGGTGCCTGACCAATACAGGAGCCCTCATCGACCCCTGGGCCCGTGATCGGTGCGAAGGTCCCTCTGACTGACCTTTGAGAGTCCAGATCTGCAGTCCTCAAATCTGACTCCTAATGGCCAGATCCAAAGGATCCTTCGGCCCATCTTTTGAGCTCCCTCGAGTACTGCCTCCTGGCCGACTCGTAACCCCTTGCCAACACTGGACCCCTGGTGAGCACTGTAGCCCCTCACCGACACAGGGTCCCCTCATTGTTTAAAGGGGCCCTGTCATTGTAAACGGCGGGTCCCGGTCTTCTCCCTTCTTGGGAAAACTGATAGAGGTAAAGGTACAAACAGACCCTCAGTAACTAAGAGGCCTGAGATCGGCTCAAAGGGCCTTCTGACAGCCATTTGAATGCTCGGCTTTGCAGACCGGAGCCCCTTAATACGACCTCCAAACGGCCCTTCGAACTATTCGGGCCTTCAAATCGGGCCCTTGTTTGTCCCGAGGGACCAGAAAGGCTCTCGGGGCCTAAGGCGTGGGGGGCATGCCCCCCCCCCCCCCGCCTGCCCTCTGGATGGATATTACATGACACTCCAGGCAAGTGATTATTTGAAGCACATCTGCATGATCCCAAGTGGGCATCTTACTTTGCTTTGGTGTGAACATTTATTCATCGCGACCGGACAGCCAGTGGTAGATCCAGCAGGTTATCACGAAGGCCCGGCTATTCTGTTGAAGACGGGATACTCCTCTCCATATGTTGGGTATTTTGTAGACGATTTTGGAACAGGATTTTCTGAAAATTAGTTGGCTGAAATCCGAACGTTTCGATCATGCAGAATTTGGCGTCGTCTGGCGGTCCTGAAATGGCCCTCTATCTGACCAGATCCCACTTGACTCGAGGGCCTTTCCTTCGCGACTTCCGGTGTCACCTTGTTTATAGCGCCGCTACCATCCACCCTGGCGGGCTCACCCTGATGTTAGGTACAGACAGGAACGCGTGACTTAGCGGTAAGCTGCAACGCCTGACCCACACAGTAGCGCTTTGTTAGCGCCAATGCACCCACGCTTGTCAGATGGGACTCGAGTCCTGAGTACGTTCACTTGAGGTTGTACACAACTTGTTCAAAGCTTGTACCTTGCATTAGCCTTTAAGAATGAAATGTTGGCTTCTGTCGTGGCATGTATATGTCATCCGCCGCGATCTGCGACGCGCCAGTCTAGGGTAAAAATTTTCGCATTGCCTTGTATCATAATGTTCAGGACTACCGCGCAATTATTCTGGCAGATCGCGTTTGAAATCGCCAAGGAAGTCCTGCTGACCCGCCACGACTAACGCAGAGGTTGGGTTACCGCCAGTTCTAGCAAATGCTCAAATTCAGAAACTTCAAGGTAAAACACGAGAATAGGACCACTTTTTATAATAGAGTGGCACGTTAGCAAAGAGATTAGCTGGGAGAGATTACGTAATTTAAGGACTCGGTTAAAGGTGGTGGACTGGTACGTTGCGTACTATTGACATCTCTGCAGGAGTCCTGCAGCATCTGTTATGTTAGGTGGTACCTTATGCAATGCTTGATATGGAAACTATATATGTTTATCTGTAGCTTTCTCTTTCAGGTAACATACATCACTATGCCAGGAAAAACCAAAGGCGTGAAAAAATCACCAAACAAAAAGAAGAAAACCCCAGAAAAATCTGCGGAGAAAAGTCCGAAGAAATCACCAAATAAAAAGAAAGTCAGTCCAGGAAATTCTCCGAAGAAAGGGAATAAAGGTGCAAAGAAAGGAAGGGGTCGCTCAAAATCTCCAAAAAACAAAGGCAAAAGAGGAAGGTCTAAATCACAGGAAGAGCCAGTTCAAGCGCAGCCGCAAAATGGAGCTCAGGAGGCAAAGGTTCTTCCCGAACCACCACCAGGTGTTGTTCCTCTTTTTCTCACTACACAAACCCAACAAATTTTCCAAATTCTTGCTGATGTAAATGTTACGAGAGAATCACCTAATGTTCTTTTGGACAAAAATGCTCTTCTGGAGGATATCAATCAAAGAAAGGCTATCTCGGATTTTTTTCCAATTAACGAGGTGATAGTTGCGTATCCCTCGGATGAGTTTCTTGTCGTTTATGATGCAGATTTTCTTTATGGCGAAAACTTTTTTGCTTGCGCCACAGAAGAAGCGAAAACAAATGTCTTGTTTCCCCCCGATGAGGAAGAAGAGGAGGAGGATCCATTCGCCCTTCCTGACATTCCTTACATCCCTCCTGAACCGAAGCCATGGCAAAACTTAGGGAGCGACATGGAGGTTGTCGATGAAACCGTGTTTGAATGCCGCCCGAAAGTCAAACTCACAATCATGAAGTCTCGTCGTCATTTCGCCGAGAAATGCAACTTCAGCAACCGCGATGCTGATGCCGGGAAAGACACGTACCAGGAATGTCTGCCTAATTACGAGCGCAGGAATGTGGTGTGCCAGAAAGAACTCGACAAGGGCACGCAAGCAGTTCCTGCTGAAGAAGTAAAATCCATTCAGACGGAATACCGAAAACCACTTAGGCAATGGTCACAGTATGTTGCCCGCGAACTATCAGAGGAAGACAAAGGAGATGTAATGGAATCAGACGTCATTGATCAGTTCGTGAAAGATGTTACTCCAGTTATGGAGGCGGCACTACAGCAGAACGAAATCATAGATGTCTTTCGAAACGACTGGGTGAAACTAAACCCTAGTAGGTCTATGATGACTGCGCAGCAAGACTCGTACCTGAAAGAGTATCAGTCGTTCCAGGATCTTCACTACAGCAAGGACAAGCAAATCATTTGTGACGATTGGCATACGACTATCCCAGGGTTGGTTGGTGTCAGCTGTGTGGAGCAGATGTCATTTGATGTACGCCTGCGGAATATGTCCCGAATTATGATTGTTCCATCACTGGTTCTGCTCTGGAACTATCAGGATCCAATCCACCCGAGATTGCTGCTGGAAGCACCTGATGATTGTTTTATTTTCCGCTTCAATCCCGTGAACCCGAACCTTGTGGCGGGTGGGTGCATGAGCGGTCGCATTGTCTTGTGGGATCTCACCCAGTACTATGGGAAATTGGCGATGACAGAAAGCACGATTCAGATCAAGAAACTAGCTTTTCTCAGTAATTTGGTGGAAGACACCGAAGGAAAGATACCTGTAGTGCAACCAGTCGCCACCACACACACCGACTTTGGTCACCCGTCGTGTGTGACCGATCTCCAGTGGCTGCTACCGCCATACATTATTGACAAACAAGGCAAGGTGATTGAAGACACTACCAAGTCCGATGAGGAATGCCACCAGATCATGTCCTGTGCCGGTGACGACTACTTCTTCGTTTGGGACATTTTCGTGCAGAACACTCGAAGGGCTCACCTCGGTGTAATACCCGACGTGGGTAGTACCGAAATTGGGCATTGGCAGCTCCTGGACCACAACTGGCGCCCTGTTGTTCGCATTAACCTGCCAAACCGCTCCGATGGGACACCTTATAGTCTAAACCAGTTCCGTGTACGGTGCATTGCAAAAGAACTCAAAGATGACGAAGGGGAAGAAGCTGAAGAGCCTGAAGAAACAGAACAGAAAGAGCAAGTTGCCCAGGAAGCCCCAGAAGGTGCTGCTAAGAGCCCGCTCAGCTTATATGCTGGGACACAGGCGGGGGAGATTCTCTTTTTTGATCTCAGAGTAAAAAGAGATTCCGACACAAACAAGACGATAGTATGTGAGCTTGAAGAGCAGCAGATTCATGCTGAACCGATCAGATCCATTTGCATCTCTCCATTCTTTGACGACTTGGTGTTGACCGTCGGTGGATTTCGGTTTGCGGTGTGGAAGGTTGGAATCAAGCACAAGCCTCTTATGGTGTCAGCCCAAGCCCCATCCCGACGCACCAGCGGAGTATGGTCGTTGACACGGCCTTCTGTGTTCTTCATTGGTAGACAGCAGGGCTCGATTGAAGTCTGGGACATGCTGGATCGGGCCCAAGAGGCTCTGCTCACACAGAGTCTGTCAGGTGTAGAAGTGACAACCTTGAGCTTACGAAAGCTAGGTCGTCGTCAAGTGTTGTCAGTCAGCGACAACTCAGGAAACCTCCACCTGCTGGAGGTGCCCCTGATACTATCGCAAATGGAGGGAGATGAAATGAAAATGCTGGAGAATTTATTTGCCCGCGAAACATTGCGCCAAGAAACAGAAGCCAAGAACAAGGAGGAAGAGAGGAAAAATGCTGAAGAGGAAGACAAGGAACCAGCTTCCGCGCCAGAAAACGTTACTTCTCTTCCACCCGTGCCGCCACAGCGAGGGGTACAAACCCCAGAGGACTTAGCTCAAATGGCAGAGGTAGAGTACGAATCAAAATCGGTGTACGAGTCATACTTGCTGTTTGAAAAGAAGATGTTGGATAAGTTGGAAGGAAAGGAAACATCAGACATTGATATCACTGCACTTCAAAGTGCAGAGAAATGATGAGCTTTGTCAGCAGGTCTGCGTTGTGTGCTTGCATACGCTTAGTTTGCCGGGCGTTTAATTCAACAACGTGTGCCAGCCACAGAGATACTGTCAGCACGAAAGCTGGAGCAATATAAACTTACCTTGCTAACGAACCTTCATCTTGTAAAAAACATAATCGTCCGTCTTCGGATGGCTTACTTACTCAATAGTTGTTAGTGTTTTGGGGCGTATGGAACTTGTGGTTGCATGTTGATCAGTTTTGGTGGTGAAATGACTATTGCACTATCAAATGCTACAGGGACGTAGAAATACATACATGTTTGTTTTTGCAATGCGTTGGGCTTAAAGTGTGCAGCACGTGCTTTAAGGCTTCCGCTCTTCACTCAGAACAGTACTGGTTGTTTTTCAGGAGCGGTTTAGGTCTTGGGGTCCGAGTTAATATCTCAGATTCAGCGGGGGAACTGAGTGAGTGGTACCTGTGAAGACACTTGCCCTGAAACCGGATCTCTGCATAAATTTGCATGCGTCAACTGATCAGTTGAATACTCAATTTCAACAGAAACCGGCAAATCCTTCGAATTCGTCCTAAATATGTCCGATCGTAGTACCTCGTGGCCCGCGCCCACGTGCCGTTGCATTGCTGGCGCTCCTCCTCACGCTCTCCTCACCTGCCTTTTCCGTACCATGGATTGGCGACTGAACGTCTGATTCGATTGTGCAGCGACGAGCACCTGACGATCGTGCACTGTCGGTGTTGACCATTGACGGTCGAGGGAGGGGATGTCAGCGATGCACGCACGTCCAGATATCTCGTATTTCTGTCTGCGTGAAAGCATTAGTGCTGGTCACTTTTTCAGCTCCATTTCGCTGTCGTGTCCATCACACCACCATTGACTTCATCGTAACATCTGTCACCGCCGCCCGGTGGGATCGCAACAGCCTCAGCGTGACGCTCTGCCCCCGTGGTGTCGCCCGTCTCCATCATGCAAGCCTCGGGCTCGTGTGACGTTGACTGGTCACTCACCGGCCACCGGAGGGGCCGGCTGGCCATCCTGCAGAGGCAGGGCGGAACCGCGGCACGTCGGCTCAGATGCAGGGTCGGTTAGTATTGGCGAACGGCTGGTCGCCGGTGGCGTACGTTTCCCTAATTACCTGGAGTGTAGTCTATATGGTAGTCTGGCATCGATGCACTTATGGCGGCATTGTGTACGACCGTGCCTTTTTACCCCTAATCGTCTGGAGGTTTTTGGTACACTTCAGAGATCAGGTTGCCAGAAGAGCATGAGAGCGAGAGCACCTGCCATCACGGCGAGTATGTGGCTGTTCTCACATTTACACTATACATTGTTGGCGGGTATTGCGTCGCCATGTTTTTTTACCTCCGATTTCCTACGGCTTTGTGGCGACCCTGAGACGCCATTTTGGCGATGCTTCATGCTGCATGTTTGCAGTCACAACTAGCACGTGGCTATTTTCAAGCTTAGATTCGATGTATTCATGACAGGGTATTGCGTGACAGCGTTTTCAGCGCCTACGAATATGAATCCGAATGGGTACCTTGCGAACGATGCTGACATGCATTTTTCCTGAGGGCACAGCGGAATTATGTCTACCGGACAGGCCTGAGCAGTTTTTCGTAAGGATCTACTCTTTAAGGAATCGTATGTTCTTGTATACACCAGGAACAATCATGGCATGCGCGTATTTAGTTTTGCTTCATACGCGCCAAATGGCTATGAGCCGGTACATCACCGGGCTGGTGACTCGTTAAGAGTCGGGCCCAGTGTGGATCAGACGCCCCGAGCGTACTGGTCCAATGAAGCGATCTTGTGTCACTCCAGCCCGGTCGCGGCGCCACCTTCGCCGGGCCGCCGGAATGCACGCAGTATTCTAAATGGACGCGCGCACATAACCTTCAAACGTCCGACTACTCCACCTAATAATGAGCGAAGTCTCATTCCACACCTATGATAAGTTCACGGCTTAACCGTATCGAATCCACGAAAAATGGCTTCTCCAGCAACCTAAAACTTACGCAGGTTGGCATCACTTCGGATTGAAACAAATCTTCGTGATTGGCTCGTATGACCATCTGTGACCCGGTGCGTTCTTTTGCCTCCCAGATCCCGTATTCACGGATAAATGTCGGTTTCGGTTTCACTTATACGGGGATGTACAGTAGACCTAGTTTTAGAGGAACACGAACAGGCTGATGTAGGGTCAATGTACCCTTCCCGCCCAAACACATGAGACCCGTTGGAACGTTTCGCCCGGGAAAATGCCTGCGAAGAAGCCCGTCGGAAAATTGACCCCAACGCCAAATCCGCGGCTGCGTCCGTGCGTGCCGCCTGTGACAATCACAGCTATTATACAATGGGTGCGGCGGTACCGGCCACTAGCGAGATGTACCATAGATGTTGGTGACGTCGCTGCAGTCCTCCCGTCAACTGTTATGTATTACAATCATGATCACCAAGACTTCCATTTGATGCCACACCAAGCAGCCTAGATTGCAGCAGTCCCAGATTAAAGTCCTTTTTTTAACACCCCTGAATCTGGAATCTACCCAAATGCGAATGCAGCCATCCCTCTGATAAATAAGAAGAAAACAACCTAATCATGCCTTTATTAGATTTCAACAACTGACAAAATATGCGAGTCTATATTATAGCGACCGAGCGTCCGTGCGCACTGGTTCCGGTATCGAGGAATGTGGATTAATGGTGCGCGCAGTCGGCGGTATGACCTGCGCATGACTGATGATTTGTTGTATGAGGGCGGCGCGCCACCAGTCGCAGCGCGGCAGCACTGCGCGCCAAGCACACTGCAGAGCATCGCCGCCGGCCAGGAGCGCCCCTCGGCGCCCACACATTCGCTCAGACATAGCACGGCCAGGACAAATTTAAGTACAATCGCGAGCACATAGATAACTGTACGCACCAGAAATGGGTGAAGCATGCTGGTATCATGACCGGGCGAGGGAGGGCGAGGCGACCCCGGCCCGGCACGTGTCACCGGCGTTAGTGTCGCTTCCGGTCACACGTGCCCCGACCTGCTCCAGCCGCCGCCGCACGCTGTGGGATACCATCCCACCACCTTATTGCATGTGACGGCCGACGCATTGTTAGAGCCTGAGGAGGCGCACAAAGGGCTCCCTGCCGCCCAGCGTCCGACGCGGCCCAGCAATGTCCAGCTTCCTCATACATCCACTCACAGCGGCGTCCATGGGTCCCACCCCCAAGCACCATGCTGTGCGAAGAAGCATGATGGGGCAGACCAGAAGCCTAATTGCTAACTTAACCGGCTCTGACCAGCCAACCCGCTCCACAGGCATCATTTTGTCAATGTGTACACTACGAAGGCGCTACCACAACCCCACACCGATGCCAGCCATACCCTCCCTACAACGTCCTCTACCACACGCGCGTCTCGCTCACATGGCAATGGACACAGCATGGCCAGAGCTCCCCCAGCGAAACAGAGCAATGACAGCGCACAACCGTGCCTTTTATGCGTGGCCTGAAGTGCCGAGTATTACAGTGGCGAATGGATGCCCTTCCCAGGTCGCTTAATTTCAGCCATGGACAACGGGAAAATAATTTTCGGTTTGAACAGAGCACGACACGGTGACCCCTACAGTCATCCCATGCCCAATAGAAACAGCTAACGGGTACACGCGAAACAGGAATTTCGCCACCATCACGAACATGGGCGACTATTACGATTGATCTCAAACTTGTCCAGTAACACACCAATCAACAACGCTAACAATTCGGGTTCCAGGTATATACAATTTGAAAGATGTTAAGCGGCTGATCACTTATCCAGTCAGGTCACGTTGATTTTCCAGCTGACTAGAGCTCCTATTATGTGGCGACGATTTGCTGGTATCCAGGCAGACCGTGGGCCGTGTCATCGCTGACGAGCGCAGTCAGTGCCCCGATGGGCTGCGGTGCACCGCGCCGGACCGACGCCGTTTCCACTGAGCGGGGAATGCTGTGGCCGACCGGCCGAGCCGTTGGCCGTCTCTGGCCTCAGCTGGCCGCCGCGGCCGGCCCGGTCCGGCCCGGCGGACGGCTGCCGCTGGCGCGCGGCACCGCTACACCAGGCAGTTGTTGTCCTCCTCGGTGTCGCTGTCGGCGGCGGCGCCGGCCGGCGGCCGCTGCGCGCAGCGGGCGCTCAGCTCCGCGTACGAGCCGCCGGGCGTCAGGCAGACCAGCACCACCGTCATGTTGTCGCAGCCGAGGCCGCCCATCTGGCAGTCGGGCGCCAGGCAGCGCGTCATCAGATCCTCGCACACGTCCTCGGGCTCCATGCCCTGGCCGATGCGGGTCCGCACGAAATCCAGCACTTCCTGGTGGCGACAGGTGACGTGGGAATGGTATCAGCGAACAGAAGTGCTCACCGAAACCACAAACCCCACATCGCATACCACAGCATCGCGACGGCACAAGTATTCTGCAGCCGTGACAGCATCGCATATGATCTAAGCCACGACGCCTGCAAATAGTAAAGCATTACCCTTCCTTGTAAATGTCCATTGGCAATTGAGTTAAGTAAAGCGTTCCAACAAACACATCGTCGCACAGGAGTACACGTCAGTTTTGACATCAGTATAAGAGCGAAAGGCTTTATCGCCACGCCGCATGTATGACCTGTCCAACCGCCTGGAATGTGTAGCGCGCTGCACCAGCAGCATCGGCTTTACAGCAATAGAGGTCAAATAATGATTTGTTGGATGTTTGATGTCGAAAGCAAACTGAGCGTCCGTTTCAGCTAAATGAAGGTCGTCAACACGGATGGTCCGATTCACAGCAACGTACTACTAAAACGTTAACGTAGTATGATAACTATTGTATTGTATTGTATGTATGGAAAGCTACTTCAACTAGTTCCCTACAAAGCCGCGCCGCACAAACGACACTCGGGCATCTGAATAAAATCGTGACTAAAGCAGATGTGAGGAAAGCGAGACGACTCTAACCGCGTTTTTCTTTATCAGGATGAGGCCGCTGTTGTTATATATTATTACGAATGGTTTCCAAGACTGGCTTTGGGCTCAGTGTCACCTAGGCATAGCTTGCTGGGTATAGCCTGAGGTCTCAATCCACCAGCCATGTTGTGCCATCAAGTTCAACGTAGTCTGGCCTCCGTGTCTTCCCCAGCCAGGAATGTGGCGGGTCTTCCCTGCCGCGCAGTGCTGCGGCCGGGCCACCCCGAACCTGGGGCGGCCCCCGTTGGCCCGTTGCAAGCTGGCCTGTCCATTTCAGTCTTGCCAAACAGTGCGTCCGGTCTGAGACTCGCGCACAGTGCCCCTGGATCACGAGCTACATCGTCTGCATTACATGTTTCCTCTACACCACGGCAACAGCCCCGATCGGTCGTTTTTAGCTCTGCTTTACGTCGACTTCCGTTTAAATGGTACTGGTGTGTAACGATGACATCCGAAATGGTATTGAAAGTGGAAGATACTGGTTAAATGCTGGAACTTACACGCATTGTCAACCTCGGTATTAACTGCGATTTAATGCTATCTCAACAAAAGTCCCGCAATGACGAGTCCTGCGCTTATTTGAGATGCATGTACTAAATGCTGCACGCATATTGGGTGTTGGTGTATTCAGACTTGAAAACAGTTAGCGTGCAATTACAATTTGACCTACACTGATTTGTTCTGATTTGTCAATAGGCACCACAAAAGGTGGCTCGAAGCTGAACTGTGGAGACAAGAGTTGTGTTGCTTTTATGTTGAAAATCTTGGATACATTTTGAATGGTGTGCGTGGGTGGCTTCAAGTTCGAAGCATTTGCTAAGAAGACCCGTACCCTTTACCCGAGACCTAAGACGGACTGATCCAGTTATTAGATACTTTTGCGCCGGCATATCTGGCGGGCGGAAATGCGGACGTTCTTATACCCGGTACAATGCCGCGGCGCGACCATTCACGATGGCCGACCAGGATTACGTTCAACAGGTCAACGGTCAACAGTACAGCATCATCCGCCGCCCAAGGGGTCACTAATCCAGCATCACTCTCCGCCCAAGGCCGCTGGACCGTTGGGTCACCAGTCCAGCATCATTTGGTGCCCAGGGCAGCTGGACCCTTGGGTCACTAGTTCAGCACCATTCATTGTCCAGGACTGCTGGGCAGCATCATCCCCCACACCACGCAGGCGACTCATTATTTAAAGGAGTTATTTAGCTACCAAAACAATATGCATCTCGACACACTTTACCCAGTGGCAATGCCAAAACCCTGTCGTTTATCACGAATAGTACCAGCAGAGCAAGACGCTTACCTGATTCGTTAACACATCCCAGATACCGTCGCAAGCCATAATGATGAACTCCCAGTCCTTGGTGATCTCTCTTGTCTCGACATCGGGAAATGCTGAAAACAGCGGACCGTACCACCGCTAGACCATTGACTGGCGTACACATCTCACGCTTGCTGGCACAACTAATGCTGGCTGACGCACACGTACCCACAGAAACAAGGCTAAAGGCATCCAACAGGCACATCGTCACACCCGCACGTTTCCGGCTTTCCATGGCCTAACTACGCGCGCGCAGTACGGCCGGACTCGTGTGGGACGGCTCGCTCACCCGTCACCACCTGGTCCTCGGGGGACTTCTCCTCGTTCCGCTTGAAGATGAAGTCGCCCAGCGCGCGCGACAGCGCCAGGTTGCCGTTGACGCGATTGAACTCGACCCAGCCGCCGGCCGCCGTGATCCGTTCCACCTCCGTCTTATTGTTGGGTTTGTGGTCGAATGAGAGCACTTCCAGGCGACCTCCCACGCTGGCGATGGCCCGCGAGTCGCCCACGTTCGCCTGCAGAGCGCGCCACATGCCGGGTCAGAGGGCAGACTGAGGGCCCGACCGCCACCGCACCCACACTGTCGTTCGCCACGGCTCACTGCACTACCGCGCTCCGAGCGGCAGTGGGCCGAGCCTCCTGGCGTTCCGGTCTGTTCCGGAGGTAGGCAAATACTGTACGGCTGAAATTTGGGCTGAAGAAGCTTATCGCGTGAACTACGTCAGGGGTACGTATGATGTATCAAACAAGCGTCAAATACATACAGCTGCTGTCAGCTCGTGCGATTTTAAACACCAAATTCAAGAGTGTTGGTATTCTTGTATGGTTACCGCCCTCATAATAGCCACACGTAGGCACAGGGAGCTACAATGATTCCGGTGGAATATGCACACATAGTGGATTCAACTGAAGTGAATATCCACGACGTAAGTGCACGCTCGCCCCACATCGGCGTTGGGCACAGTGCGGGCGAGAAAGGCCTTTATAAGCGCTGTGCGCGATACGCTGTTTTAATCGACTTTGTTCCAGCAGGGACACACTTTATGCCAACGCATGGGGGGCAGGATGAGCCACAGTAGAACCTCCAGAAAGACGGCACAACATCCCGAACAACGATGTGTTTCTGATCCCAGTTTGTGTGAGACTGTTCATTCATGCCGAGAGTGCAGGCCATGGCCGTCACGCCAGCAGCCTTCAGCGTCAGCGGTCAAGCTGGACAACGCGTCCGGATGAGCAGGAAGGACAGAGGGAGGACACCACTCACACGAGTTTTAAATGACTCGAGAGGAGTCTGCCATCTTAAAGGTGGTATTGGTGTGCGTAAGGTCAGTCGTGCCAGATTTGCGCTGCTAAGCCCGCATTACAAAATTTGCGCGCGCGATCAAGCAAACTTGATTTATTATTGCACAAGTTAGCAGCCACTGCAAGAGTACGATTTTTCACTTCAGCTCGCGTACCACACTGGCTTGGTCAACGCACTTCTTATAGTGTTGTGCCCATTTCAAATTAATTTTTGCATTCACAGACCTTGGCCACTTACTTGGGGGCCTAAGGCATGCGAACAGGGGGCCGATTCCCCTTCATGCGACACATTGCTGCAATTTTAACGATAGCTTTTTTGTAAGGTTTATTTGGCAAAGTAGCTTCATTTTCAGCGGTTTGTTGGGGGAACATTCGTGGTGTCGGTGGTTCACTGCAGCAAAGCAGTAGTGAGTGACTTTCCTCCAGGGTAAAGAAAGAAAGCATAGTGGCTTTCGCGCATGTCCCATGGGCGGCCGTGGCTCTTCAACCCTTTAGTACATATTTTACACATCTAATGCGTTTAAAATGTTCTGTAGCAGGAGACAACACTGTTGTTGCCTCTTCGCGTAGCGAAGCAGGCATGAGCCGCGTGTTCATTCTCATTACAATACGGGTTCTAGCCATTTTGGGACAGTCATCTCACTATAAGAGTTCGTTTCTTTTCTGACTTCACCCCTTGGAGACACCCCATCTACAACGCATTCTGGGTCCCAGAGAAGTCGGGCGCCTGCAGGATCACGCGAATGCATCTCTGATCCGATACCTTTGCCCCTCACCCTCCCTCCCTCCGACGCCGGGGGTACCAGGCGCAGCCCGCAGCTCCCGGCTAGACTGGGCGCCGCTCACTCGGCATGTCGGTGGCGTCGTGCGGAGCTTGGACCCGCGGTCTGAACCCCGTCACAAAGTACGGCACAGGGATTATCTGCCTCGGACTGGGCGCTAGATCGATTAGCACTGCAGTGCACTCGCGCCTAGCTAGTCACTGACAACAGGGTCGCTGATTGTTCGGTCTCACACCAGATCACAGCTGGCGCCCTGCCACTTATCGATGCGGGGTTTACACGAGCTGAGAGTGTGTGGTAAATTCTATCTCTCCTTGCCACCCACTGTTACGGGTTGTCCACAAGCTAAGTGTGGTAATTTCTATCTATCTCTGCAACCCACCGTTCCGGGCTTTACACGGGCTGAGAGTGTGTGGTAATTTCCATCTATAGACTGTCACCCATCGTTACGGGTTTTACACGGGCTGAGAGTGTGTGGTAATTTCCATCCATACACTGCAGGACTTCTGCCCCCGGCGATCGCCTCATTAAGTCGGCCAACAGGGAATGGTTGCCGGCGGCCGGTCAGTGTGCAGTCGGTGGTGGTGGGTTAACAGTCAGGATCGGTTCCGGGCTACGAGACTGCCGCGCTGCTGTCGAGACGCCGGCACCGGCCTCTCCCACGCGGCCGTACATGCTCACCACTGTGCAACTTTTGGAACACCTACCATTCGAGAAAAATTCCCGGAGCCTTTGCAAAACAGATCATTCGTGCAACACAAAACAGTCACCGCTACAAAGTCATCGCCTATTTTTAGCCGGGACTCACGCAGAAGAGGATGCCGTTGCGGATGAGTATGCTAACCGCGGTGGTTCCCGCCAGGTCATCCTTCAGCACCTCGTCGGCCAGCATCATGCGGTCGATTTCCAGGCACGCCTGCTGCAGCGCTTCCTGCACGCGACCCTTTTCGTATTCAGGGCGGCGTACCACCACTTTGTGAAGATGTTTGCTGGCGTACTGCGCCACCTTCTCGCCTGCCGTGCAAACATCCCCGTTCAAATTGATGCAGCTGGGGTCAGGGTCTCCAGCAACAATCTGCTAAGTGGGATCTTCACGTTCAAGTGCGGCTTATATCTGGATGAAACTTTATGATATACACTGAATGTTATGAGTCAACCAGACTGAAAGTTACAAAACTCAGTGGGCATTGTTCCAGGGAACAAAGTTGAGGGTGCGCCATTAGCAGCAACAAAAGCACGCCCTGGCTAACTTCAGGTCTACTGCGGCCACTCCCTGAACGACACGTAGGTCGTCAACGGCCGGCGTCGCGGGGCAGGGGCGCCTCACCTCCATGGCCGTCGAACACGGCGAAAAAGGCGGCGGCCGGGTCGTCCGGTAGCGAGAGGATGTGGGTATGCGCGTCCTCCATGCTGACCCGCCACCCCTGCATACAGCTGGAACCCACGCGGTACGCCTCCGACCAGAGACTGTGCGTCTCCTTGTGGGTCACCGGCTCAGAGAGCATCTGACCCATGGTGGCTGGATGGTTGGTCACTGATGGGACCTCACATCAGCATCTGGGGGCAATGAGGGTTTAATAGCAACTACATACCCAAAGACCAATGGTCCTTCTTACACTTACAGAAGCTGCAGTGAACAGATCCACTATGACAAAGACAAGGTCAGCAGATGTAGCCACATGAAGCTGAAGCTGTAGTCACAATTGTATTTTTTAGCCCGAGGCCAGCTGCTAAAAATGGGAAAACCAGCAACTCAAATACACCATTTCAAATGGCATGAAGCCAGAGCAGACATCAGCCATAAAAAGCCTGAGCCATCAAAGCAATCTAAATGCATGAATACCTGTAAGTGCACATGCCTTGCATTCATGAGACTTAGGTGCGAAGTAGCAAGCAGTCTGAATAATCATATGCCTTAAGCCTTGTACTGATTTGATTTTAAAGGGTGTTTTTGCTTGTGGTATCCCACAGCATGAGACTCACCTCGGTCTGGGGATCACATGCTCTGTTTATGAGGTCTGTTGTCAGATTTGTTTACTACTTTCGACTACATCATGAATTAACTATTTTTTACTTTATCATTGATGCCAGAAGACTGTTCCAATGATGGATCAACCTGATACTAAAGCTGTGATGACTCAAAATTTGTGACACCCAGGGTTTGAAAGCATCAAGGAGTGACTTATGGTTAGTTGTGGAAGTGAAAACATACTCAACATTTTCATGTCAGAGATGTCATGTGGGGCTGCATACACTATGATCATGAACCATCGCCACTGATATGCCTGTAGTGCAGTAAAAGGAGCTTAAGATTCTTGAGGCATCACTCATATGGCTGATACCTGGGACAAGGTGAGTAGCTCTGCTCTGCACCCTCTTAACCAGCTTTTTATCTCTGATCTCCTCATAGAAAGGCCCAAAAAACTTAAGTCATGCTCTGATATTGACCTGAACAGAGTTTTGTGCAGGAGTGGTAATGTTATCAGTCCATATCCTCACCAGACTACTTTATGACTTACAGCACCTCACGACTTCTAAGTTACCACAACCAGCCATCACCAAATTTCACAGTTTCATCCACCAGTACTCTCAAACCTCTGCTGTTACTCGCTGCATGATGATTTGGTCTTTAGGCCAGGCTGTATATGGTCAGATTGTGTCTATGTCATCCTCTGCAAGTTGGACTCCCTCATTTGATACTCGTGGTATGGGTTTGTTCATTCAAAGTGCAGGCTTTTGTCTCGGGTGGTATTAGAAGAAAACATTCATTTAACTGACAAAAATTAACACTTTTTGAGGTCATCTTGGAGCTGCACATCATTTTCTCTATGATGGCACAAAATAGGTTGGGGTTGCCTACATACATTGTGCCATTACTTCAAACCCCTGTCAGGAGACTAATTTACTGACATAACAGAATACTGGCACCACAACTGCTCCCCACCATACAACATTGAGTGCTGTCATACAGACAGACATTTGTCAATCCCTGCCTTGCCTTGCCTTCTTTCTGGAATGAAATGTCTGATCAAACTGGGCAGTTTTCCACAGATCCCTGGAGCTGTGAGCACCTCAAGCAGTCACTGACATAACATGGAGTTAAAATCTCTGTAAAATTCTGCAGAACAATATCTGTGCTCTTCCCTTGGCTATAGTGTGTGGATGCTATGGATTAACCTCTGAAAAAGAACAAGGAGGGGCCTTGGTGGCACTGTGGGCATTTTCTTCAAGACCAGTGGGTCACCCTATCTTGCCCTGGTGCCTGAAATGTCCTCCTATCCTTTGGGTGATTTGGTCTTTGGTAAACTCAACATCTTGGACCCATATGCCAGTTCAGGTCGGGCTGCGTTGTGTGATGTTAGAGCAGTTATCTCACGCAATACACTGCTGGAGGTTCTGTTCACTTCTTTGGCCCTCTCAATGTTTGCCCCATGGTGCCATCAGCTCTTTCCAGATGTTCAAATTTAACCTTTGTTTGCAATCATGAATTGGTGTAACCCTAAAATGCATTGGAAATCTATCCTCTCAAAATTCCATCCGCAATAAAATTTCAGATTTCTCCAAAACTTTCACATAAGACTGTGGGTGCATGTCCTTTGAATGCTTCTTCCACGTGTGCGGGCTGAATGATAAACCATGTTCCTCATCATCATGCAGCTTTTCCTGAAGAAATGCTTGTTTTGCATTAGTGGGAATTCTCTATCTGGGAATAACTTATTTTTCCTTGCCTTTCATTGGCAAAACAGATGGAGTGTGGTGATTTTCACCAGATATTCTTTCACACATGAAGACATGCTCCACATTGCATGATCTCAGTTTGTTAGTTAATTTGTCCCATGGACAGAGTCATTTTCCTCTCATCACCTTCATTGAAATTCAGTTTTTTTGGCACTGAAATATAGCTATCTAAATGTCCTTATTGATGCATGCTGGGATGCATCTCAGGAACACATGGTCTTACAGGTACAGGTACAAGTAAAAACTGCAATCTTGCAGGTAAATATGTTACATCTGAAATAGTTTTGCTTTGTGACAAGATCTAGTAATTATGCATTGTCCCACAAATAATGCCCGGAGGTGTAAAAATAAAGTTGGTGAATATATCATGGGAATGTTTTAAATCAAGCCAAGAGATAAGCCAAAGAGTAAAGCTATGTAAGCCTGAAGCAATGGTCCTCCCCATGTGCTCAATAGATAAACCTAAGGTTTCACCTTCATTCATTGAAAACTGTACTAGGCAATTTTCAAAAATCCAGCCAGTGGTGCACATGCATGTGCATGCATCTATTGCACCATTCCAGCTTACTAGTGCCAGACTACATCAACATTAAACATGGCTCAACTATTGCTGTGCTGGTGACTCAAAGGGAGTGTTCCTTAATTGTCTGGGGTTTTAACCTGAAATAGTCACATTCAAGAACATTTGGTACAGTTCACAGCCATGCCCTTTTGTGACCTGAATCCCTCTGATTTCCGAGCTATGTGCTCACAAAGATGTGAACACAATTTTATGCACACTACTTCAAGGTCTTCCAGGCATCCATGGCACCATACCATTGAGATCTTGCCATTACTCCATGCCAGGAAAATGTGGTGGCTTAGTCAAAGAAAAATGCAACTGCCCGGTTGTTCATATCAGGCATTCATACGCATGATCTACAAACACAACAACCATCAGTTGACTCTGATGCAATGTTGTGCAGAGCATGACAGGGTCAATCAAAATTGTGGGGCATAGTTACAAAATAGAGGAATAGAGTAGTCTAGTGGTGTTTTTTACTTAAAAATATACCAATAGCTATAAATGAAATTTTGTCACCATATCTGATGTTTGCCTCCATATCTTCAGATGTGGAACATTTCCTATAAGGGGAACATTCCATATCTGAAGACATTCAAGCCTTTTCATTGCCCACCCACACAACCTGTTGCTGTCCTTTTGATGTGTAGTGAAATATCACATTGCTATGTTATCTACCATATAAAAGCATCACATTCAGTCAAATTTTTAAAAGTAAAATGACAAGGTATCCCTAATATATCCATTTCATGATGTCCCTCTTCTCTGTCTTTCTAAACAATACCCTTCTTTTCTGTGAGGGCACTATCTGTACCAAGCTCCTTATTTTGCAAACCACATATTTCATAAATAACCTCCCTCTTCAGATGGTATAACTGTGCCAGGTACCTTAAAGGGGAGTGCCCCAAGTTTGTATGGGGTTCTGAACTGACATAGCCATGCAGAAAACCTTCCAAAGCTGTTAACAATCCTGCTCTTGTTATGACCTGAGCCACTCTACTTCCTACCCTATATGCCTGCAAAAATGGAGAAAGGTAAGGTGAGAAAGGTGAGATGTTCATATTTGATATTCCATATTTGGCATTATGAGCATCAGTTACAGATGGCCTCGAGCTTGTTTCATCACATCTGATGCTTGATGCTTGATATCTTTGAATGTGGAACATCCACTTCAAAAGTAATTCCTGGTAAAATTTATTTGGACTGAAACCCAGAGTATCAGGTCAGCATTTTGAAATTTAAGAAATCCTCATATACTGAAATGCTTGCTTCTACAGACTTGCAACATAAGGTAGGGTCATTGCCCAGACTAGTAACTTACACTGTAATACTGAATTGTTCAATACCTGAAGTCTGTAAGGCATCAGACACCATGATAATCAAACAGGAATATTCCTGAACATCTTATCATCTTACATTTACAAATACAATAATTATGATAAGGATGGCCAATGTCTGTCAAGTGCTATTCTGTCGCACTGAGCATACAAATGCTGAGACAGTGGGTAGCAGGGGATTTGATGGGGGGAGGTTGGTCAAGGTGATGACACTTGGGTTGGGTTAGGTGAGCCTACAGTTCTTTTTTCCTACTTTCCTTCAAAGGCCATTTTCACAGAGGTATTTCATGCAGATCACACCATTGTAGTAATGGTGCAAATGGGGCAGGAATGTTGCATCTCTGGAGTGCTTTGATATAACCTATAAAAGTTATTATAGTTTGAATGTAAAAGTGTAGATATACCTGTTTTATGATCATCTACAGCATTTGTTTCCATTAACAAGACAACCTATGTACAATGCTCTTTTGTTACATGAGGTACCTATGTCTTCCTCTACCTAAGGCAGCAATATAACCGTTGTGCCTAAATCGAGATACCTACCTATCCAAAAGCATACGTGACTTGCATGCCATAACGGCACACTTGTTATCAATTCCTGGCGAATCTTACCATGACTCCAGAGTGGGGAGCTTGAGATAAAGAGCCGCAACAAAAAGGCAAGGACCTGAGCTACGAACCAAGATTGAAATCTCGTGACAATTAGATACCGCCTCCACCCACAGCCCCACGCCTTACTCGCTTGCTGCGAAACGCCCTGAACGTCAAGGATGTCACCATTAGATGTGCCAAGGTCGGTGCTAAAGTTGGCTTTGCCTCTTTAAATCAATGCTAAATAGTAGTACACAAAACATTCTCAAATTTTGAAGGCATATTTAACATTTGAAGATGTTGACGCCTGCATGAAATATAGAAGTAGATGCATTTGTAACCACAGGTATTACTTCAGTCCAAAAGACTGCTCTAGATTGCAAATTTTACAATGCAGAAAATGAATTACTTAAACGTCATCATTTGACTACGTCATAGAACGTTTGTAGGACGTTGGAGTACATGCTACATAGCTGCGTCAGGAAGACATAATAACTCAAGTCGGCTTTCACGCAAATACTCCATGCTAGTCGCCTCTCGTTAAGTTTTTCCGCACAGGTACATTGAGAGAGTACATTTGTAGTGCATTTCTCCATTGCTTTTCAACAGGGCTGCCCTCATTATTATTAACCTCGGTAAACGGCTGAACATAAAATCAGTTATTTTAGTACCACAATCAGTGAACATGAATGGTCATCCACACTCAGGCCATGGGGCAGTGATCTTAGGTACTGGATATTATAATTTCCAGTGTAACGCCTCGTTGACGATTACGCGTTACACCAGGGCCATCCTGCGCAGCATACCGCGCACGAAACGAAACGCAACGGAATAGGTACCGGGAAAATGGTTTCGGGGGGAGAGGCCGCGACGACGGCAGGAAACACTGCGCTAACAACGGCAGCAACGGCAACGCATAGCATGCGTTGAATCGTTTAGTGATTGTCGCATCGGGCATGATAATACAAATGTGCATGTTTTGTGCAACGGTGCTGTTGCCGAGGAAATTTTGGACAAACACATGGTGAATAAACCTTGGCCAGGCTTGCTATTGATGACATGAAGCGGTATGCCTGGAATCAAGGCGGTCCATCAACCAGGTGGAATTTGAAAGGGAAGATCGGTGAAGCCTAACTGGGTCCCATCTGGGATGGTTAACAAGGTCTCATCTGGGCTAGTCATATGGGCCCAATCTGGGCTGGTTATATAGGCCCCAGCCGAACATGCTCTCGTGCGTCCCAACTAGGCAACCCAGGTGGGCCCCATGTGGGTCACAGTTAGGCCCCGCGTGAGCCCCAGGTGGGGTGCCCACATGGGAGCGAAATGGGTCTTAACTGGGCAGCCCAACTGAGCCCAATGCGGGCCCCAGTTTGGACCCATATGGGCCCCAGGTGGGCTGCCCATGTAGGACCTAGGTGGTTGCCCGTGACATGCCCACGTGGGACCAAAGCGGGCAGCCCTGATGGGCGCCATATGACTGCCCATCTCGGACCCACATGGATCCCAGTTGGACATGTTGGTTGGATGTCAGGTAGGAGTGAGAAATTCACATAATACAGGGGGAAAATGAGTGAATAGTTCCTCCTCATGAGATGTTGCCTGACACCCAAAGCCGGCAATTCTAGGGCACTGGCAACACACCAACTGCCTCAAGTGACATGACAGTGAATCGATAAATGTTGACGTGAGCTAAGCTCACCCACGCACGGCCAACGCGGATGAGAGCCATGCCAGCTGTCCCTCTTATGTATACATGACATGGTAAAACCGAGCCAGGAAGCACACAACACGAAACTTGTTACGCATATAGTCAAGATGATAGCATATGGGCAGCCAGTCTGGGTCCCAGATGGGACCCAGGCACCAGCCCGCCTACATCACATGCTGACATGCGGCCAGCTTGCTCATCTGCGACCCACGATCACGATCAGAAAATATCCAACCATGGAGAGCGTAGCATAAAAATCAATGCTCTAGTGTAAAAAAAAATGTCAGCATATGGGCGGCCCATCTGGGTCCGATGCGGAGCCCGAACACCAGTTCATCTTCGGTCCATGTTACATGGGCCCAACTTACCCACATACATCCCACATGAGCCCCAGCCTGTGCTGTTCTCCTTTGATATGCACTCATTTGTACATAATAGGAAAATCCAGCGCGGAAGCGCAAAGTAACAAACCCAATGCGCATGCGCCAAATATAGCAACTTGGGGGCTACCCATCTGGGTACCAGGTGGAGCACAAATGCGAGCCCATCCGCAACCTACATGGACCTCGGCCCAGCTAGTCCGTGCTCGGCCCATAGGGACCCCAGTCCTGGCAGCAGTCTCATGTTTTAGAACAGTTGTACACGATATAGTAAAACCAAGACAATGCAGACCATTGGTATTCACATCAATATCGTGTGTGTGGCAGCTTTATTGGGCATATAACATATGGGTAGTCCATCTGGGTCCAAGATTAAGCCTGGATACTAGCCCAACTGCAGCCCATGTTGACATGAGCCCAGTTTACCCATATATGGCCCATATGGATCCCACCAATGCGAGCATTCCCTCCTCATGAGTTATTTCCTCTAGACGTGACAAATTCTGACGGGACAGAACAAGGCACCAACATGTCTAGTGCGTGCGAAAATATGAAATGATGTGGGCGCCCCACGCGTAACCCAGCTGGAACTCAGTTAAAAGCCCACCTATAGCCAATGCCCTCATTAACCCAGTTGCCCCACGTTGAGCTCCTGCGGGTCCCACTTGGGGATGCTGGCTGGGTAACTCCATGTATGTTGAAGGTCGTTAACTCAAAATAACGACAGTCAACTCATGATACCAAAAAGAAAACGAGGAGGTAAAATAATTTCTTCTCTGTGTTAAGTCCAAATTATAGGCACAGATAAAAGTGGATGAAATCCGTGACGACAAAATACGTCTAAGGAAGTAAGACTGGTAAACTTCATGAGTTCGGCCCCTTCAAAGAAAAACTCAAAGTTCCATCCCTGACAGCCGGCATGCTTCCAATCCCGTGCCCACTGGGGGCGTTCATAGCATCCAAACGCGCAATATCCAGTCATAACCTCACAGCTTCGAAACATGCAGCGCAGACACATCGAAACATGCACAGCTCAGTGTTCACAGCTTCGAAACATGCAGCGTTCACGGCACTCATGTTAGTTTTGATTCCTGCCGCTAGACGACACTACAGTAGCAGAAGTTTGTTTCGCCCTCTGCCGTCATTTCCCTCTTTTGTCAACAGATGGCATAGCCAAGCTGGCATTTCACCGATGAACATGTGCTAGGTATAGTGGAATTTGATTACTATGAATTACACAGAGCGCCTGGCGGCTGTGCCAGCCTGAGCGAGGCCGCGCCCCGGGGCTCGCCGGCGGGCCGAGCGCGGGCGCGGCGGGCGGCGCCGCGTCTGGAGACGTGGCGGCCAGCTTGGGCTCGGCCGGGACCGCCGCGCCCGCAGGGTAGGTGGGCTCTCCCGCCGCCGCCAATGCTGCCGGCCGTGGCTTCAAGCAGAAACATGTTTGTGTGACGGGTGAGCCTGGCGGCGCCGTCGAGGGCTTCACGTCCAAGTGCAAGGAGCTTATTTTCAAACGTTTTGGTGTGTGGGAGAGGCGGTGCGGTGACACCGCATCAACCTGCCGGCACTGCCTCAAGTGCGGCGGCTGTGGCCGCTGGCGGCTGTCGGGTATCATCCCGCCCGACTCGCTGTCATGTCCGCTGGTACTGGCCGGCCGGCTGATGTGATGAGGCGGTGCGCGCCCGTCAGTGAGATCAAACCGCTCTGGAGGAGACTCGCTGCGGCTGGCGACTGAGACTTGCTGACGCTCAGGGGCGGATCCAGAGTGGGGGCGGGGGCATAGGGTCACGGCCTCCCCTGGGGCCCCGAAGGCTCCCATAGCTTTCGAAAGCGGCCCGTAGCCAGCTCAACAGGCACAGTTCTTAACACAAAACGTTACAGGATGGGACGTTTTTGGGCTTCCAGGCAACCAAGGCCAGTCGCAAGCGGAAGTAGAGGGCCCACGAGCAGAACAATGGGATTGCTCACTGATCGAGTGGGTGGTGGTTAAGAGAGATTAAGGCTCATTACACCGTCCAGAGGCCCCACGCTGTAACTGGGACCCTATCTGTCCACTGCGGCTGGCGACTGAGACTTGCTGACGCTCAGGGGCGGATCCAGAGTGGGGGCGGGGGCATAGGGTCACGGCCTCCCCTGGGCCCCTTGCAGGGCAAACCCGATCGCCAAGGAACCTTCCACGTTGTCTTGATTCCTTTACATTTGCTCGGAGGTCCCAGCAAGGGTGCCCCAACATACCGGAGCACCCTGTCGATCAGGGGCTTCGACGCATCCTTCCCATCCGTCCGAAAATCTCTACACGCTACAGCCGGGGTCCCATATATCAAACTGCCGGATATTCTAGGTTGCTCAAGCGCCCTTCACGTTGGTTTCGGTTAACCTACCGACACACCCGCGATGTGCTCATGGGCGCTCTACATTGGTCTAGGACGCTTCCAATTCCCTGCCACTTGCCGAAGGCTCTACGCTCTTATCGGTGGCCCCATTCGTTAACCTGCTCTGGCAAACTCGATCGTTTGGGCTCTCCTCATTGGGTCTTCCTTGAAGGGGCCGAAATCTAAATCGAGTCCCACACTGGCAGTTCTAGAGTCGAGCCCCATAACCATTATACCACCCCCCCCCCCTCCCCCGAACCAAGGTCTTCATCGGCGGGGCCACTCTTGATCGCTACGGGGTCCTTCACATGGTTGTGGGCTCTTCCGATGGAGCGAGAAGGATCTTATTCTGCTGCCGAAAGGGCCACGTGTGCTCGCGAGCGCCAGGGTGTTTCGGCTGCTTATGGGTATGGGCCTGACTAAATGTCGTATTGTACAGAGCTCCGAGTTTGCAGAGTGGCGATTCCCCCTGGGGCGTTAGCTTTAGAGCAGCCGTTGGATATGCGCCAATGAATTCGTACGTGTAATTGTCGTCGCCGATGTTGTGCATGTTATTTCAATTGACCATTGAATTCGTGACAGGTATTATGCTTGTACTTCAGGTTTTTAATACATCTTGAATGCTAGGATATTTTTCACTCCTTTGCAACAGCCAAAGCAAAAAGTCTGCCTTAGTCATCAGTTATCACCTGTT